GAAGTGCTCAAGGCCAGGCTGGATGAGGCTTGGAGCAACCTGGTCTAGTGGAAGGTGTCCCTGCCCATGGCAGGGGGCTTGGAACTGGATGGGCTTTAAGGTCCCTTCCAACCCAAACCATCCTGTGATTCTATGACTTCAGCTGCATACCCTCCGTCTTTCTGTGCTAAGCTAGCCCAGAACAGAAAAAATAGGCTGAAAAATTGCAAATGAAGCTTCCTTCTAGCATTTGGAAAGTAAACCCTCAATCTTTATGAGCAGGAAGCTTGAGTAAAGGTTTAGGAAACTGCAGTTGTGAGTACAGCCACATGTCTATCCTTTCCTACGGATACAAGATGTTTGTTACGGTTCAAAGCCACCTCAGTGAAACGGTACGTTGGACGTCCGTGATGCGACCAAAGTGATGCAGCTTGCTGAGCTACTAGAGAAACCCTGAGCCCCAACAGTGTTAGGTATCGAGTCAGTACCTAAAGCGGTACAAGCTCAAATCAACAGCAGTTACACTGAGTTTGCAGGAGTGCAAACCAGACTTCAGAATTCCAGGTAATGGAAAATCAGAAAGCCTGTGACAGAGCTGAGGCTAGATTCCAAGTGAATGGTTCAGCGCTGCTGTGCCATTCACTCCTTGTTCCAAGCACATCATGTTGTATGGGCTGGGTATGTGTGGCTGCACTTCAGAAAGGGACAAAGTCTACGCTAAGTTTATTATCTCCAGTATGAAGTCACAGTCCTCGGCAGGAGGGAATGTCTGGAACTGGCTGGGATGCTGTGCCTCTGTTGGAATAAACAGGCAACAACAGAGTAGACCTGAACATAAAACTCAACATGGAGCTGAAATATCCTAGACAAGTAGTAATAAATCAGCTTCCTTGTACTGCTGAGCCATTTGCTCACGCAGTGCTTCGAAGGCAGTGGGACTGTCGGTGTTCCAGGTGGAGGACAGCAACGCAGTAACTGCACCAGCCCACAGGGAGGGATAACATGGAACTAACATGCTGCTTCCTCTTTATTGCTCCAGGGGTTGTGTCTACAACTGGTACCAAATGGAGGAAAACCACCCAGGAACACTCTTGTCTTACACTTCTGTTATATATGAGGTTGGAAATTTTCAACCCCTCATCTTTCACCATTTTATCTGGAGTTTCTGTCCTCTTTCTGCAGGAAGCATTTCTTGAAAAATGCCTCTTTTTATACTGGAAAGGTCAAAAACCTGAAAAAAACTCCCCTGTGACCACCGGACTCAAGAAACAAGAGTCATCAGTGAGTTCCGAAAGTAGCCACACACATAGAGAGCTCCTGCACATGCATTCCGGGGAGTTTTACAGTTCAAAATCTTTGAAGACCTGAGCCTTGGACTGTGTTCCTTCAGAGACATAGGAAAAAAATGCAGTAGAGGAGGCAGGTACCAGCAGGGGGGGATAGTGGCTCTCCCAAAAGGAAATTCTGAGCTCAGAGGTCAGCATCCTTACCATTTCTCTCACCTACGTATGTCTTTATGGTGTTTGAACTGCCCTTTCCTTTGCTCCCACCTGGGCATCCAGAAGAGAAGGAGGATTTCAAGTTCCTAAGGCTCTTATTTTTCTCTTAGTTCCTCAACAGAAAAAGATCGGTATTCCTGCATTCCACACCTGGGCTCCCTGTGTATGAGGGAGCATCTGGAAACGATAAACAGTAAAACAGTCACCCAGTTCCACCCAGCAGGAAGAAGTGGTCTGGCTTCACCTCTGCCAGGCCAGCTGGCCAGCGGATGCTATTATCATAGTCTGGAACCTGCGGAAGTGCCTCACAGAGGCACTGAAAACACAAGAGAGAGGTCAAAACTATAGGAAAACCTTCAGGAATGTGGGAGATATAGTGTGTATCTGAGATGCCATGAAGTCTGGACAGAATCATAGAATCATAGAATGGTTTGGGTTGGAAGGGACCTTAAAGATCATCTAGTTCCAACCCCCCTGCCATGGGCAGGGACACCTTCCACTAGACCAGGTTGCTCAAAGCCACACCCAGCCTGGCCTTGAAGACAGGATTTCTTTATGATTATAATTTCTTTATGATCCGTTTCAGACTAGCCTCTGCCATTTGATTCAGTTTGCTCTGGAAGGTTGTGGCCCTGCAAGGAAATAGGATGAGAATTTGCATCCCCAGCTCTCACTAGATCCTTGGCAGAGGATGGAGCCCAAAATTTCTCTGCAAGTACAACAGTGTGATCCCATAGCTAAGGTCCTAGAAGGCTCAAGCCCAGCAAGATGTGAAAGTAAATCCTTTTTGGCTTTTTTGGTGACATTTTATGCCTGAGGAGGAGCCTGAGAGGGCACCAAGCCAGAAAAGGAGCAGAGAAATGACAGAGCAGCAACACACGCTCAGTAAAACATCGGATGGATGTGAGTGACAAGCATGTATTTGTGATGCCAAGTCACTGCAGCAGTCAGATAGATTAAAACACGGGGAAACTGAGGCTTGTCTGACAGCGGGGTTTGTCAGCCCTGGGAATATAAATAAGTGCTCTGTCTGCAAACAAAGCAAGTGCAGCCCGGGGTAGCAGCTGCGGCGCCTCAGTCTGTTTCTGAGATTCCCCAGAGTCCCCAGAGCAGTGAGAGAGCAATTTTAGCCCTTCAGGCATTGGATACTTAGCCTGTGCTAGGAGAGCATTTTTGTGACTTGGGGGGCTTTCTGTGCTGTGGCTGACAGAAAACGTAAAGAAATGAAACGCGGGAGTGTTGGTGGTAGGGCAAGCAGAGAGTTCCCAGTCAGGACAGTGCTGTCAGTCAGCCTTCCCGTCTACACAGGCAAACCTTGTGCATTTGCAAGTCATGCTGTTGCTGTAGAACCAGCGTCCTTTGCTCCTCCGCCTTCAAAAGCAGCTCTTTGTCCTCCTGGAGGGCGTGAGTAGTGCGCAGCTCTCGGATCAGTTCCAGCCGCTTCTCCTTCCCTTCAAACATCTTTAAAATAGTTAAGCAACCACGCATATGAAACGGGGAATACAGATCAACATGTTTTGCCAGCAGAGCACACCCTTTTTATCCAAGTTGCAAGGTCAGCTGTTTCCAAGACCTAGTTCTCTGTAACGAATTTGTGGCCACACTCAAACAAACACTACAGCTGTCAGGTAAATCTTGCCTAAACCCTGCTGCATAGAAGCTGAAAGTTGAGACCTTCTGCTGTTGAGTATAGATGAATCCTTGCTACTTTATTATACATATATATGTTTGTTTGTTAATTCTGTTTGGCTTCACCCAGAGCTCAAACCACTGGAATGCGGAACGGCAAAACCAGTGTCAGGTGAAAAGGGCAATAGCCTTCTGGATATCCTGTTACCTCAGCCTCAAAGCTTCCCAGGGTGAGCATTGCCCCTTTTCCTCAGTCCAGGGTTAGATGTCTCCTGTTTCAACACCTACTCTTCTCTGACCTTCGTTTCGAGGGAGTCCAGCAACAGCTCACAGCAATAAACTGGTGGGGAGGTGGTTGAAACCGCTGCTGTCCCCGTTACAGGGTTATGTGGCCCAGCCCTTCCCTGACACTGTCTTATTTTCATTCACCCTCTCGTCCAACAGGACTTCCAACAGCAACAAATGATCACTCAACCCTACTCACATCATTCTCTGAGTCATATATTAATAATCCTGTAGCAGCTGGAGGAGATTCCTAAAATTATGGGACATTTCATAATGTGAAATTCAGCGGTCCTGCAGTGGCATCAAACACCCTTTTCATAGATCACCGCAGAACGGGAGAAGACTTGGGAAGTCTGTACTCCACCTCAAGCCACTTCCACAGCGTTGCATTGTTTGCTACAGCTCAGTCTCCCACGTGGGAACACTCCACAAACCTTGAGTAGTTAGTGCAAGAAAGATTATCAATTCTATTCTCAGCAGGCACGAAAACAGACCAGCTGCACTGGTCTGACACAAAGTGATAGACTGGCTTAATTTTATATTAAGGCATGGCAGTTATTTTATCTAGACCCACTTCTGCTCCACTGGAAGCAGACTCAGATGGGGCCTGTACTTGGTGGAAATCATCTGAGGTGCAGCTCGCCGTCACAGGAAACTGGAAAGACGGTGTGAAATACAAGCCGTCCTGCTGGCATGTTGGGGGTTTCTTGTGCCTGGATCTTGGCATAATCAAGGCAAATTTTGTACTCACGTTCCAGGGCTAACTGAAAATTTGCCATTTGAACCTTTCTGCTATGAAGCATCTAATTAAACAGCTGAGTGTAGGGGATGGCAGGAACAAGGAGACACTCACAGACGGGTGTAAGAACCTAGAAGTTCCTGTAAGAAATTTGGGCTGGAGAGCAAAGACTCCAGCCCTGAAGGACTCCAGATAACATACAGGAGGATATGCTGCAAATATCCTCATTACCCTTGATGAGTGCTGTGGAAGAAAGATTGCAAACACACTTTCAATCATTCCCACCATCATTCGGAAGAGACCCATAAACAAAGAGGCAGAGGATACCATGTTCTGAACAGCCCTGCCTCGCAGCAACTTCTGCAGACAAATCACTGCCAGTTCTGTTTCCTCTTCCTCCTGCTGCAAAATCCCCACACAATAATGAGTTATTTCTTGGGAGGCTGGGGTTTCCATAGATTATCTATCTGGCCAGCAAAAAGTCTAACTAGTATCCAGCTTTTTCTCAGCTGTTTCTGAACACCATTCTTATTTCCAGGGAAAGGAGGGTGAGTCAGAATACTACGTACTTCCGTGTTTTACAAGAGATGGGGGAGAAAGGCCATATGATTAGATTCTATTTGAGATTTTGGAGGTCTTTAGAGAGGAGAAACCTAATGATAAGGAGATGTTGATGGAGAAAATTACTGTATGCGTTACAAGTACTATTCGGAGCTCGACTGAATCCAAGTTTGCACCATGAGTGTCAGCTACATTAATTTAACAGGCCAAGACATGAGGGGGATAGAGTTCTTATTGAAGGAGGTGCAGGAGAGCTGTTAACCATAAATAAAGGGATTAAATTAAAAGGGAACGTACATAATTTTTCTTTGGATGTTTATTCCAGTGGTGACCTCAGAATAATCCAATAAATTTAAGACTCAGAAAGTGATAGTTTGGAAGTAAAAGGAATTACATTATATCGTGATTTGTCTGAGAACTTTACTGGCCTAGCATTGTGTGACTGATACCAACTTGGAAGATGGATGATAGTGGAAAAGGGAACCTGACCATAGGAGGGAAAAAAAAAAACCCAAAGGGCTTATTTTAAATTGAGGAAGCATGGCTGGCAGCACTTTTTCTTGCTGGAGGGGGTCTTCCAGTTTGGAATTGACAGTAGCAGCAGGAAGAAGTCCACTGGGTGCCAGGGAAAGATAAAAAGAAATCTAAAAATTGCAAAGAAGTGTTTTTAATAAGGAACCTATGAGGTCTGCATTGAAACGTGGTATTTCAGAAGTGTCAGAAAAACAGGAAAGAGCGTGGGATGAGAGAAGTGGTGTGGGCTTGAATCTTAGTACCTGTTTTTCCTTAGGTGTTGAAGATCAAGTTTTCCGAATGCAAAAGTTAAGCATTCTTGCCTCTCCATACCACTACCCAGGAGGAGAAAGCAGAACTAGCTAAAGGACTGCCTTATGATTTATGTTCTTTTCTCTGGAAAGAAGGGATGAATTTCCAGTCCAGTTAGGGTGAAACTGTACCGTGTCACCAGGCTACAGTGTGAAAGCCCTTCAGGACAGCATTTTGGAAATGGAGATGGCACATACATCTGACAGGTAAGCCTAACTGCTTGGGTTGATGTAAACTAAGATTTGGGTTAAATTTTTGCGGGATGCATTTTTCTGTACTTCTGCTGCTCAGTGGTGCAAACTGTGCCTTAGCAAGGGTAATCATCAACTTCTCCATCTGCCTGCTACAGAACAGCAGGAAAGAATGAGGGGAGATGGAAAGCCTACCATGCCCTGCAGGGAAAAAAACCCCCAGGAATTAAGGATATAGAAGGATCTAGGAGCAGGCTAAAAACTAGAGGGGGCTGGGAGAAAGTGAGACATCAGTGAAGGAATTCAGAGGTGCTCTGTGAGCTTGTTGTGGCTAGTAAGTGCGTAAGAAATGACTAGGGGAGAGGTGTTGAGAAGGCCTGCAGTAGTGTCTCCATTCTCTCCGCTTCCTTTCATAACCCTTGTGGCCCTTGTCACCCGCCTGTCATGCTAGCACACTTTCCTTTTGAGATCCTCAACTCCAGCAGAAAGAGGCTGGTGCACTTTGCAGGCGGTATCTGTGTATGGCAGGGAAGAGGCATTAGCAACAGAGAGGAGCCTTGCTCTCAGTGCTCCTCGCAGCCAGCTGGTAGGAGAAACCTTATGTGGATTCTGCAAGGCAAGAGATGCTAGCGCTGCTCTTCAGTGGCTGAAGTGGCCTGATTTTACAGATGGAGATTCGCTGGAGAGCTCCACTCTTTTATGTGTTTACACATAAAGATACTTGAAAATAAATCAAATGTTGACAGAATTCATTTAGGTGGAATTCTATTGTATTGGAACTCTTTAAAAATATATATATAATCTGTAATCATGCTCAAGAATGACTACAACCAGGGGATAAATCCTTCTGATTTCTTTCCATATTACCTAGAAGTACTTAAAAATCTGCTAAATGGGTAAATCTAAATAGTGTAAATCTACCACTGCAATAAAATGTCCAATATCTAGGAGTTTGTAAAGCTGTGGAAAGGTCTTCCATAGGAGACATTGTTCTTTCTGTCATCTTAAAATAGACTATATAAAACACAGGACATCATACTGCACAAAGGAAGACAGCACAGATGACCTAATAAGGCACTCGTGGTGCCACTCCTGGCACTCTCACGGTGGTGTGACACTCAAATTCACAAGTTTGAATGGTAATTGTGTCTGATTCTTACTACGTCATGAAATGCTGTTAATAAGCAGGCAATCCACTAGGGCAACCACCTATTTGGTATGCTACTTTAAGAAAGGAAGTTGAAGCTGGGGTTTTTTGCAGCATATCACATCCCCCAAGACACGTCATCACTGCTATTTCACTCCCTGCAGAAGAATCATCTTCTGTGAACGGGAGCATGCTCATCCAAGAGTGCATCCTGCATGATGACAAGAGCTTCACTCCAGCGAATCAATGAACTGCATGCTCAGCGCTAAGCACCCAGAGCAGAACGTTGGAAGATACTGAATAAACATAGCAGGATTCTTGCCTTTTTGCTCTCCAAGAACAAGTAAATAACCTCTTTATTTATGTCTTTATAAAATAAAAGTTAGTTAAGGATTTGGCCGAAAGATTTTCAATTCTTCAGCTGCTAGTATCTTTGTAGAATTAAGAGAGACTAAGAGAGTCTTAGATGGCTATTCCTAACACGAATATACACACAAAAAGATAACGCTCCTTTCCTTCCTTCCCTGGGACTTCCTTTAACAACCGTGTAGGAAACAGCCAGGCATCAAGAGATTAAAAAAAAAAAGAAAGTGCTAAAACCAGCCCACTTACAGCTGATGCTTTTTCCAGGGTTGGAGTGAGTGGCCGAGGAACAGGCTTTTCTACTTTTTCAAGGAAATGGAGGGGCTTCTTCGCCTCCTTGCCTTTATTCTTCTTCTCCAGCAGTGCCTGGAATAGGCATACAATTTAATCAGAGAGATTTGGGCTAGATAGCATGACACAGAAAGACCTCTAGATGCTGACTGTCGCTGTTCACACTGACTACAGGGAGCTGAAAGTATTTTGCATTTTGCAGGCTTGTGGCTTCTATTTCTTACTGCACATCGACCCAAAAACTGAATATGGTCAGTAGACGAGGCTGTTGGTTGGTCGGAAGATACTGACGGGAACTTCAAAATCATATGTAAAAAGGAAGCAAGAGTTATTTTACTATATTTACAAGTAAGTCGTGAGCAACTTCATAGGGTGAGTCACCTAAAATTGATCTAAAAATGGTCTGAACTTAATTTGTCATATAATATCTTCCTTGTTTTCCTTTTTTATTTCCCATTTTAAAATAGGAATCTCGTTGAACCATTTAAACACTGACCCATTGCAAGCAGAGGCAGTTGTGTGTTACTTTCCTTATGCAACAACATTAATTATTTTCCTATAGAGGTAAGATTCTTTCAAAACATGAAATACGGGTAGGAATGTCACAATTTAATGTCAGTTTACATATCACTACAGAATAGTTATAACTCTTTGTGTTTACCTATAGGTGCAGTGCTTGTTATTGCGAGTTAGAAACGTTAGGCGGTCAGGAGATTGGATGAAGGGGGGCACTTGAGGAGTGTATTGTTACGGTTCTGGGGCCCTTCCTCAGCGAGATGCCGTTGTACGAGACGCCGTTACTGTGCAGGGTTGAACCGAGCGCCCCAGGACCCCTTCCTTGCAAATTCTGTGTGGAAACACTTTGCTCACCTGCAACAGCCCAGCAGCTCAGCAGCACCCACAGCAACAGTACCCGCAGAGCAAGGGTGAAAGGGAGGCTAACCTGCCCGAGAACTTCCTTCTACAAGAAAACCCACAAGCCCATTACGAGTGGATTTTATCTGGCTCGCAGCTGTGTGGCGGCAGACGCCAAACCTTGTCAGCCAAAGCAGGCTAGGAATGGAAACGCACCACGGCCTGGGCTCTCTCAAGACATGTGCAAACTCTTTAGAGAGCCAAAGTCCTGCCAACTTCCCAATCGCAAGCTACTTAGAGCAAGTTACTCAGATGATCATTTCCAACTGCGTGGCAACGCTTGCCTGCTGTAGGACATCCCGTTTCGGCTTGCAAAGGAATGGGAAGAGAGTATGCACATTTAAAGCTCCTTCAAAATGATAATCCTCCTACTGTACGGGTTGATCCTGCAGTCTTCACCACTGGAAGAACAGATATATTCCAGCAAGGAAAAATGTGCCTTTTTCTTTTCTTTCTCTTTTTCGAGTGCTCAGTGTTTCACTAGGGAGGGAAACCAAAGACAAACTTAGGAAAAAAATCCCATGCTGGATTTCTCTCTCCAGTAACAGGAAATTGATGGCCCTTGCACAGAATTTAACAAGGTTTTGAAACCCCGGTCATCACTACAAAACAAAACTCTTCTTGTTTGCATATTGGATCTGAGTTTTCAGGCCAGGATAATTAATTGCTCCAGAAAAGGAGAGAGGTTTTTAGATGGAGAGGATAAAATGCTTTGTTACCGAAAACTTCTGAAATGGACAGTGTTAATAATGCACAAGTCAGAGCTTACAAACTGCCTGTAAGCCACGTGAAATGGTTATAGCTCAGAACCGTCGAGGGATTTTCTGAACTGTTTCTTGTATTTGATGACCTTGGAGCTCTCCGGCATGAAGATTACAACAGGGCTTGCTATGATTTATAAGGTGTTTTGCATGATGAGGGGGTTGGGGATTGAAAGAAAAAAGACTGCTGTAGTTGTGATCCTTTTGAAAACAATGGCTCCTGTGTTTATCAGTACAATGTCGCATTCATAAGGATTTTTCTAATAAAACCTTAGCCTCCAAAAATATTTCTTGCTAACCAAAATAACAAAATGCAACCAGAATAACCACGTTTAAAGACAGAAAAATCTGCGAGCACTTCTGACAAGATGGGAATGCTTATGAGTGCAGATCTGAGAAATACCGCTGTTTCCAGAAGTGGATTTACGTTTTCATGTCAGCACAGCCTAGTGCCTGCTTCCCTACCTTTACTGAGTCAAAAATGCTCACCGTTGGCTTTCTCGAATATGAGGCTTTAAGTTCTTTAAGAATTTAATGTCAGAGAAGAAAAAGAAAACACTTTTTTTTTCGCCTTGACTGGTTCTGCCTAACTTAACAAGTTACCATTTTTCTAAATAGCGTGACCAGGGCCCAAGAATCGCTGCAAAACACTGTCTTTAAAAAGAAGTGCTATATTTCTGAATGACATACTTCAAACGTTACGGCCTAGATATCACACTCTGATTTTTCTGAGATAGACTACATTACCCTTTTCAGGTAGTCGGTTCAGGGTCATGGTATTGTCTGGTTGGATTGGCCAGCAAAGGAAGGACCACCTAATTCATCTCCCTTCCATTTTCCTGGCAAATGCAGTGAACAGCAAACAGCACCCATGCTTTTGGCCTTGCACTTTAGCTGCTTTGCTAGCTTCTGGTAGAACTCTTGACAGGATAGAGGCTTGATAAACAACTCTCCATCCTTATCTTCTCTGTGATGCTCTCCTTTTCAGAAGACGCTAGGTATATTTTATTGTCATGTACAGCACAGAGTATACCAGTCATGTTTCTCTGTCTTCCTTTTTGCCCACGAAGGAGGAAGGTGAGACCATGGCGGACTGACTGACTACTCATTTTGCAATGCAGCATGGCTGCTGCATCTTGGCTGAGCGAGACAAGCTCTCAGAGCTTGCCTGAGCATGAGCCAACTAACACGATGTTGGAGATCTGTTCTTGATGAAATAACTGCTTGAACAGGTTTTCCTACACTTTGAAGTTGGCAGAGATTTTCTCCCGAGACATTCTTGGCCCCTCTACTTCTCCACCTCCTTCCAGTAAACAGATAAAAGAAAACAGACATGATGGGAGTTGCACTTAATGCTGAGGTGAGAGATTCCTTTTCTGACATCATCTTGATCCAGCACTTTGAAACTGCCTGACACTTCGCCTGCTTTGAGTCACCAGAGCACACAGGGTCAGCCGAAAGTCACACATTGTTCTGCACTGGGAGTTCTCCTAGCAGCTCCTCTGTTCCTTGGTGTATCCTCTCACCTAGTTGAATTTCTTTCCTACAGTAATTAGCTGTATGATTATGCAATCTCCTTAATGCCTCAGATTTTCACACAAGGCTGTCTGTATAATGGCTCACTCACATTCCTTAAAGCACTGTCACCTGCGCTGGCTAGCAGCTAGTTTTTCTTGCCTTTCTACAGACCCGATTTATGATACAGATAATTGTTTTTACCGTAAATCCTGG